GTAAGATCAGTGACAGCTTGAGGATACGTTTTGGTGAGAAGGGAGCTGAGCTGGTTAACAGCTCTGTGTTGAAAGGTGTAATTTCAGCAAGCTGATTTGGAACTTCAGTGGCAGAAAATGTACTGAGCAAAACCAGTGACTCCTGCTGCAGTGCTGGCAGGCAATTAGACTTATCCTGCTGTGCTTCTCCAGCTTCACACAGAGAAGAGAAGCCTGGAAAACTATGGTGATGATTTGGGTGAGCTGGAAAGATGGCTTCCCATAACTTTAGCATGTTAATCAAACTCTGCAAAATTGCTTTTGTTTCACTGTGGCCTCTCTTAAACCCATAAATTGCACATCATGTGATACAGCCTGCAATGACCTGACTTCTGAGTCTAGATCTAGAGAAACAAAGACAAAAGTAATAATTTGTCTTAATTTCCAAATAATGGGTTTGAAACTGTATATGAAATTTCCTCTCCTTGAGCTCTATTACAGCCCTTCACATGGCTACATCCAATTGTGCAATGTGTGTGCTAACCAGATTTCAGTGGTGTGTTCTGTGCTTGCTATTAGAGCAGTAGGTAGGGATGAGCAGAGTCTGGAATGTTAATTGCAGCCAAATGATAAGGTGTTTAAGTATTTCTGAAGTAGGAATGAAACTTCAAAGATTAGTAGTTGTAATGTCACATCTAAGTGTATTAACTGGAATTCAAGATAGTTTTCTTTCATTTTTTCCTTCTTCAAGCTATGGCTTGATTAGATTAATTACTAATTTTTCAGTTGTTTCAAAAGAAACATCAATTAATTGTCTTTGGAATCATCAAGACACTTAAACACTTAAAATGCTGCTTTAGCGAGAAGTCATTCTGCTTCAAGTGGCTAATGGGTACATTTGCTTTGGTAAGAAGCAATTGAATTTGTTGATTCTTCTGCACACAAATATGATGTTTATCTTTTAAGTGAAGGGAACTCGTTTTCCATTTACTCTTCAGAATTTCTCTGTTTGCTTTTGACATAGAAGTACTAAGCATGCATTTCTTTGGGGGGGACAGTATGCATTGTACCTTGCTTTTGTTGTTTTTGACAGCTCTTAGTGCCTTAATTCAAACAAACAAAGATAAATGATTGCTCTCCAGTGCATTTTAATCCAAGTGTTACTGCACACTAAATAAATCCTAATTACCTAGGAAACCTGAGAATTCAATTATTTTGTGACCATCGTGTATAGTGGATTCCTGACCGTATGGTTCAGTGTAATATAGTTAGCAATAGGAGGAGGGAAATGGATGCAGCTGCCTGGAGGGGAGCTGGAGGGGGCTGTTGGCTGGTTGTTGTCAAACATCACTCAGAACTTCCAGGTGTGGACACCAGATTTTAGTGGCAGCGTAATGAAGAGAAGTAATGAAGAGAAGCCCAGGTCTGCTACCAGGATGGTGATAGGTGCAGTGAGGAGAAAGGGATGCTGTGAGCGAGTTTTCTCATAATGCTTTGGGTTAGTTTGATCAAATGAAGACTCTTTGTTGCTGTATTCTGAGAAGTCTGTATGTTGTGGTTAATGTTCCTCGCTGTACTTTTTGAAAGGCGAGTCAAGGGGCTGAGCTGCTGCTGGACTTGCTGGTGAAGCTTGAAAAGAGCTGGCAGCAGTCCTGTAAACCTGAGATACTGGAGTTGAATGAAGCAGTTGCAGAGCTCCAGCATACAGAGAGGGCTGCTGGGGGACTCGCTTCAAACATACAGGAGCAGGCTGTTACAGGCATCTCACAGCCCTTCTAATCACACAGAAATATTTAAAGTAACTAAAATGCCTTTTCAGAATTCTTCTGTGGTTGTCATGTTATTGTTCTGTGTTTGTTCTTCAGATGCTGTTGCCTTTCTCTTGAAACAGCTGAAATTCTTTAAAAACCAAGTCCTCATGGGGAGAGGAGGCATTCAAAATCCTACTGTGCTTTATGTGCACCATAGAAAAGCATCGATGGTTTTATATTTTGACGGAGGATGCTTAAAAAATAAGGCTTTGATTTGAACTGAAGATAGAGCAGTTATGCTCTCACCTTCATTGCCCAATTCTCTTTGGTCGCTTTATTGATGATTTCTGTCTCTGGTCTTCATCAGTTAATTGTGCTTGAGTGTAAAGCTATTTATGGATCCATCTAAAATGCTGTGCCAAAAGTCTGGGGATGTTCCATTTCAGTTTCATGCAATTTAATTGAGAGACAAATCTGTGTCCTACGTCCGTGCTGAGTTGGAACTAGAGAAGTGTTTCGAGAGACTTCCAAAAATAGATAAATGAGTAATATGGTGTGTTATCAGTCCTTTATTTCCAAACAAACTTATGTTAAAAACCAGAGAAGAACTTGGTCCCCCCTGAAAGGAATTGCCCAAGTGCTAATTTTTCTATTTAGTTTTACTTCTGTCTTGTACTTCCATAGTTGAATTTTAATGCCAGGTATCCAGCTGCAATCAAACCTATTCATTTGCTGTGCATTTTGAAGCACTTTATAGAAGCAATGAGAGCTTGACGTTCTAATAAATTATAAATTAAAATATAATCAGTTTTTTACTTTCTAAAACATTTCCATCTGCTTACTGAGTCGTGGTTTAATGTTACTTCAACAGCTGATTCTGAGTGCATAACTGTCAGTTCATTGTGAAATGGTAATAGGTCCTTAACTAAGACAGCTCAGCAGAGCTTTCTAGCAAGTGTCTGTAAAATGCTGATGGTGTGCAGTACTAAAAATATTGCAGAAGCCATTTTCCGTGTAGAAAATTAGAAAGTATAGCAGTGGGGACTTGAAGTTCAGAGCAAAATAAAAAGGCTTGTTTCCAAATTAGTCTCTAATGTTCACATTTGTTTGGGCTTTGGTGTGTTTTTTTTTTTTTTTTTTGCTTAAATGTTATTGTCAGAGGAAACACAGGGCCAGGCTGGGGTGGTGGGAGTGAGGAGGAGAGTTCTGGCTTCCCACAATAATGGGACCAGAGCCAGCAGGTTATCTACACTCATTTGGAAAAACCACTTTTTTTGTCATTTGTTCTCAGTGTTATCTTGCTAATTACGTAGCACAATGTTCAGTTCTAATAACGTGCTGCTCCTGAATCCTGCCATTCTGTGTGTTTGGTTTCGTTCAGGATCATGCATGGCTGATACCAGCTTTAGGGGTTGCATGGGCTCCACCATTGCACTGAGGGAAGCTGCTTGCAGGGAGGGTGCAGGGCACTGTGTGAAAAAGCAGATTTCCCACAGGGGTCTGGATGTATTTATCTGAAGGCAAGGTTTCAGACTTCCCTTGAGTAGCAGTAGTGATGCAAGTAGTGTTGGTAAGCACTGCTGTCAAATTCTTACAGCAGACTTCTTGGCTTTTTAGTCCAAATTAAGATATTGGTTGTTTTGTAGGGAAGGGAGGGAGCTTTAATAAAAGTTATTCACAGCTGGCCCGTCAGGCAGGCACCTCAAGGCCAGAATGTGTTCAGTGTGCTGGGATAAAGGTGTATTTGGATGCAGCCTTATTTTCAGAAACTCGTGAAATAAGGGCTGTTCCCAGGGCTGGGTGGTGCATGTGGTGCTTTGGAAGGCTGGCCAGTTCTCTTTAAGCACATCTGATTTAATTTAATTGTGCCATTCCTCTACTTGGAACTGAGTAAATTTGGGTTTTGCTGAATTGTTTGATTGGGATGGGAAGTAGACTTCAGAAACAGGTTTGAAACCTCCTGGTGAAGGTGTTTGGTAACAGTGTGCACGAGGGATGTCTGTGTTCCTAATCATGCAACAAAATTTAGTTTTATGGAAAGTTAACTCTTCTTTAGAGGAGATTAATGCCCATTGATTTTGTTTTCTATTATATCCATGCCACTCAACTTTTCTTTGAAGTCTGCAATGCCAGGAAAACATCCTCCAGAAATAAGTATAAGCCTAAAGCTGCCAATTGCTGGAACTCGGATTGGAAGCTGATTGTTGATTTGAATTGCCTAACAGATGAGGATGATTTCTGTTAATTGGAGATCTGTCAGTAGCTACCATTACTAGAAATCTGTGGCTTTTATAATACTATCTCATTTTACTATTGGATTAATTTCAGTTCTGAGTCCTAATACATGATGGTATGAATTTCTGAGTACACGAGAATAGAACCGAGGCAAATATACTTATCTGACCATTTAAAAATCTCTCCAATTATTTCATTGATGCAGAGACCAAACACTTCTGCTGGGAGGAGGCACTCAACACATTGCAAAAGAGATGCCTGATATTATCTGCCAGATAAATCTGCTGTGTTTGGGTGAAGTTCAAGAGCTTAGAATTACGCTTTTCAGAACCTTGTTGACTTGGCATTAAACTCTGCAAAGTTGTCCACGTTGAAATCCGTGGGTCTGCTTACAGATTCTTGGCAGACTAAGTGTGCCCAGTTCATTTCTTTCTGGTTGATATTTTTGTTTTGTTTTTAAGTGTCTGTTGACTTTAGCAGTTGAAAGAGGATACTGTGGAAGAGGAAGCATAACTTAAATATATTTTTTCTCATGAATACCAACACATTTATCCTTCCAACATCTCTATGTATTCTTGTTAGAAATTACTGTGGGAAGAAAATATCTACTTTATTTAAGGAAAAAAATGAGTCAGATCTGCTTCTTGCAGATAGGTGATAAACCCAGGCTGAAATCAGATTGTTGCTGTATAGACTTTCCTTGTAAGGTATGAATGTTTATGTTGATCACCTGCTTTGGAGAATTTTTTGGGTTTTTTGATTCTACAGTTTTAGAGTTGGTTTATGGGCTCAAATGTACACTGAGATGCTGTGAGTTGAATGGTAATTACAGCATACATTAATGGCTTTAATTAAACCAACTTTGATGTATGTTGGGAGCAGGATGCAACATGCAACCCTGTCATCCTAAGGGACTGGATAGCTTTGGCTGGTGAAATTTCTTCATCTGCTTTTTGTGAGACCTTTCTCATAATAATAAATGGAATGAAGTCTTCCGATCAGTGATCTGTTAAAAGTGTCTGTTTTGTTTTGTAGGACGCCTGATGATCTGTCAAGGCAAATTGTGGCCCTGCAGCAAAGGGAGCTTGTGCTGAAAGAGCAGAACTCTACCATCACAAACAGGTAAGTGATACCAGTAGTGGATGTTGGGTAGCAAGATGCTGCATGTGGAAGGAAAGTAAAGACTTCAGGCTGTGAGGATGGCTCTTTAGATTTCCCTGCTGCTCTGAAGAGCTTTCCATACTATTGTTCTTTCCCATACTGAAGAGTTTTTTCCTCGTGTAAATCCTTGCAGTATGAAAGAGACTAAATGTGGGAGGATTATCCAGTTTTATTTTGTAAGCTGTAGTGTTTGTAAGGGGAGATAAGCATCTTTCCCAGACTGCCATGTCTGGAAAGAGAATGTCACAAATGTGCAAAGCAGGGATGCTGGGGTAGGAGGGCAGTAAGAGCTCCAAGGGCTGTAATTTGCCTGCTTAGAGAGCTGGTTTGTATAGATGGCATTGGATGAGCACGTCTGTAGATCTGATGGCAGAACGCTCTAGACTTTAGTAGAAGGAGCAGTTGGTTTATAGAGCAGGGATATGTATGTAAAACTGGAGAGTGTCTGAGCCTTTGCACTGATGTGGGAGCGAGCATCTCCTGAAGGAAATGAGTTTGTCTGCTGGAGCTTTATTTCCAGACTGCATTGGTTACAATAGCATTTCTTAACGTGATTCCATAATGTGCATGGAAGCACTTCTCACTCTCAGTGCACATCTTTTTCTGCCCTGATGTCTCTTCCTGTTTAAAAGCAATACCTCCACCTTTAAAAATGGTTCTTGGGCCGTTTGCATTGCCAAAGTCTTGTCTAAGCAGCAGAAGCATGGTGAATTTCCACCTTTGGTGTGAATGTGTTAAATATAAAGCAAACGCTGTGTAATTGAGCTCTGGGCCAGTGCTTTTATTCGTCTTGGGCTGCATTTGCATATATTTCTCTTGAGATGTGTGGTAGACTTTGGTTCAAGAGGTGGTTGTATTATGGTCTCTGCCTTGCGAATGATGGGCAGAATTCAAGCTGGGTGTTAAAAGCTTTGTGTGCTGCTGCTTTTAAAAGTGTTTAGTCAGTTGTAAAATTGTTAGCCAAGTGTAAACTGCCACGAGTGCAGTGTTTGCATTTCTATAAAGAATTTGAAGGGTGACAAAAACCATCACTAATATTAGAGGAAAAAAAAGCATTTAGTATATTAAAAGTGCACCAAGCAAATCTCCTGAAGTCATAATTGATCAAATAAAAGAACATTGGTAATGTTTGAGGTGTTGTTTTTCTTCCCCCTCCTGCCTTCCCCACAGTCTGCTACTCACAGCCTGTCAGAGCAGTGTTTTTTCTAAATTTATTAATGGCCGAAGGGAATCATCTGTTGAAAAAGCAGCCTTTTTGTGCTGTCTGTTCGTGCTGGATGTAATTGTGCCAATTTAGTTTAAAAGTAAAAACATGATTAAGATTACTTTTTGATTTCAAGTGAAATGGGCTGTAAAGCTGCTTAAATTAAAATTGTAGCATTTTCTTGATGAAATGCTCTGTATGTCATTTCCAAAACTAACAATTTTAGCTTTCTTCTGTCACATACCTTATTCCGTCTTAAAGTAGGCAATAAGATACAGTTTTTAAAACCTTTCATTATGGATGATTTGAAAGTTCCCAAGAGAAGGTCTTGAGTCTCTGGAAATGAAACCTTGTTAAGGAAGCAAATCTAATTTTCTCTTTTCCCTTGAATGACATCCAGATTCAGCTGATGGTTTTCTTTTATTTGTTTCCTAATTGTGTGCGGAGTGGACTGCGTTTGACAGTAACTTAATATGTGACCATGACTCCCTCTAGTGATTGAGCCCTGCAGTTATTTGGCTTTCTATTGTTTTCTCATCTATAACTGGTTTAGCTTCAAGTTGGTATGTGTTCTGTCTTCAGTACTGATGGTTCTGTATTTCATTTATAAATAGTTGGAAGTTATTTGTGTACAGAGCTATATGCAAAAGGAATTTTGCCTATCATATTAAGCTTTGATTAAACTTCGCCATTAAAATTAATGATTTGGTAGCTACTTAAGGAAACATCATCAGAAGTTGGCACCTGAATTTATTTCTGACATTAAAGCAGAGAATCAAGGATAGTTCTGGGTTACCTCTTGCTGCCATGCGAAGCTCAATGTTCAGGAGAAGAAATTTGAGTCATGTTGCAGACTGAACTGTCATGAATAGTCTGTTTGCTTTTTTCCTTAGAGCACTTGCACTGGGAAAGGATGGGATGTCTGGGGCACTGTTGGTCAGCAGACTCACTTGCTGATCATTGAACCCAAATACCAGAGGCTGCATGCAAACTGAGTGATGTGTCTGGTCATCAAGGAGCACTTTGGCATAGGCAGAGAAGGGCCTGGTACGGTTCTTTGCAAGCTGAATGTTCTGTCTTTACGCTGCAGTTGTCTGTCTTCATTTTAATTGCTAGTGATAGCATCTTGCCTGCACTTTAGCGAGTGTGGTGAGCACTTGCTACATCATATTTGTCATAGCCTGATGAGGAGTCCTCAGTTTCTATTTGATAAAAGGAGATGTTTGATGGTGAGACAGGAGTTGATTGCTGATGTGTCCCAATATGAGCAAGACTTCAGAAAACAAGACAGGCTTGGAGAAGATGGCACAAGGGATCAGGTTGCTATGTAGGGTCCCTTCTCTTCCTATAGAACTAGAGACAGATGTGTAGCTCAGCTGTTTCAGTGTGCTTCAGGTGATCTGGAATGAGGGGTTATGACATAGTCATTCCTGTAATGCTGTTTCCCACAGGGCATATGGCTTCATTAAACGAGCTGAACTTCACAATTGCTAATGGATTGCTGATGGTCTCTTGTCCGTGTGCAACACTGACATGGGACCAATGAGGTATTGTGTGAAATACAAGGCAACGTGAAGTCAGTGCCTCGAACAGAATGAAGGGCACCTGAAGAAAGGGAGAGCAGCACCAAATCTTTGATCCTGATCTTAGTGCTGCTAGTTTATTCCTGTCACCTGGTGTCAGAAAGCCAGCCGTGAGTTTTGACATACGGTTTTATATGTGAAAAGGGATATTTAGAACGTGTTTGAAATGATATTTTCTTCCTCCAAGTGCTCACAGAGTTCTCTTAAGAGAGATGGTTGTTTACACCTCTATTCGTATAAATCACATAAAGTTGACTTACCCAAACAACCTGCTGTGTGTGTTATCACTTACAAATGAAATAAAAACCCAAACCATCGAAGGCTGGGGAACAGAGATTGCAAACTGAACAGAAAATCTTTTTAAGAAAGGCAGCAGGGACTTTTTTTCTAAGCAAAAAAGACAATGAGTGAGTAATAATAAGATTGGAGCCATCCATCTCCGTAAGTGCTGCTAGCTCAGAAGTGTGCTGTAAATCCACTGCCCATCTTCTCCTTGCCTTGGATGTCCCATGGAGCGTCAGTCACAAATACAGATGGAGCCTGTCAGCCTTTTCTCCCCTAATCTTCTGGAAAGTTGGGCAGAAGTTTAATTACAGTGAAATGTCTTTTATCTGACAGCAAGAGAAGTGCTGGCTTTTTGATAGGCTTTATGAGTTATTTTCTGATCAAAAGAAGCATTTAATGTCTAATATAGGACAAGGTAAGGATTTTTTGTGCAACTGTATGGCATACTGCACCTTGATTTATACGTGGGGATGTATGTGTATCTAACACCAGACAAATGTTTATTCGTAGTGCTTCAGGGCAGTATTAACTGCTGGCAGGTTCTGCATTCATTTAGTGCAATGCTATGGAGAAATGACTGGTGGCTATTGCTCTTTCTTCTCCTCAAAGTGAATCTTTCATGCTTTTTATTTTATTCTGGAAAGTAGTTGATAGTGTCCCATTGAGTGACCTATCTTTTCAAATAAGCATATTCAAACAGTAAGCTTCCAGGCTACATCTGGCTATTCATGATGATAATTGAGTAGATACAGAGCCTCCCTGATTTTTCTTTTCTCATGCAATAGTTAGTCTCTAGCAGAAAACAGGGAGACAAAATAATTCAGTCAAGACATGGACTTCTTGCTTCTGATTCTAAGAGTGTGAGATTTTGCCCAGACCTTTGCTGTTTGTGGTTTTGCTGTTTTTAGCCCAGTTTCCTGAGCAAGTGAGGCATTGTGCCTTATTACTGTGTTTTGTGTGCGAGCCTTTCTGTGCCTGCTCTACTCTTTTGAAGTGGCTACTTCTATCAAGTTTGGCAGGTGGTTCAGATCCCCAGAATAACAAATCCCAGCAAGTTTAATGAAAACAGCTATCCAGCTACAGCAGGGGCACCTTTTTGCTGCAGTTTGAGGCTATCCCCTCTTTAGGTATCAGGATCCTGCAAGTAAGAAGTTGGTGTGGGAAATGAAAGTCTGTTGGAGTAGGTATTCACCACTGGAGAGAGAAGTCCATAGGAAACAGGGCAGCTTATTTCTGGAACTCGAGGAATTGCTCTCTTCTTCTGTTGAAAAGCAATTCTATAGAGAGAGCCTAAAGAGCAGTCTCCAGGGAACAGATGTAGCTATAATTTTAAATCTTTTCAGCCTGGAGCTCTGTGGAAAATGTGCTGTGCAAACCTGGTAGAAACAAGTAGTATTTGGTTTCTTGCTTTCGATTTGACTGTGCTTCTTAGAGACCAGAACGTGGAAGGAGGGTCTGCAAAATGCATCTCTTCAGTGCTCCGGTTGCTTTTAATGATTAACATGTTGCAAAAGCTATTTAACTCTGTCCTTCTTTTCTCTTGTTCCAGGGTTGTGATTGACTGTTGGTGTTCATGCTAGCATCCCTGTTGTTTGTGCATCTTTCTATTACTAGAATAAGCTTTTATTTGTTAGTGCTCCTCTGGAGATGCTGATTAAACATTCCCTCAGGTGTCCAGGTAGCAATTCATGTTATTGACCAGAAAAATGTCTAAAATAAATGGCTAATGAAAAGCTAAACATGAATTCTGTAGATCTTGCTAACTGCTGTGAAGTAGGGCCTGTTCAAATACTCGACAAAACACTGTTATGTCTGAGAAGTCTCTTCTTGGCTGGGATGTCTCAGTCGGTTGATTGTATCTGCATGTGAAATCTGTTCAGCCCTGTGGC